TTAATTCCAGATATAGTCAAGTTGACAACGAAGAGTAGTCGTCGCAGACATGATGTACGATGATCTCTGCATCTGTGTTCATCAGGAGAACTGGACACTAGTTTTGTTTTCCCTGTTGTTTTCTTACTTGTCAGTTAATTCTGGCCTCCCAGGAGGAGTTTGCAGCCATCCTTTCCTCTTTTGTATGGACTAGTTAGGGGTGCTGCTGTTGGTCTTCTTTAAGATAGGCAGGGTTCCCTTCTATTTTCCCAGTGACCTCCCCACTGAGGCATTTTACCTAGACATGTTTCGTATATTTATAAAAGGAATCCCAAGACTTTCCCTCCTGTGTCTTCATCTTCCTTCTTCATGTTCATGATGCCGGATAAGTTGTCAATACTGCCTGACAGGATGGGGACAGAGTATTCCATCCTTTTACTAGGTCTTTGAGCAGCTCTTCAAGTCTGGGGCTGAGCCGTCGGCACTTGATTAACCTGCCTGGGAGGTTCAGGACAGTCCTTGCCAGCTTCCTTGTCCTCAGTGATTTCAGACTCACTAATGGGACCCTGTTTCTTTATCAGAGTTACAGACAATGACTTTGGGGCAGAGCATGATGCAACCTAGTATTTGCTTCTCTTTTCGCCATTGTTGATGCTCTTGAGAGAACCCCCCAGGACACTTACGCACACCATTATGGTTTCGTGGAAAGACAGCAAAGAGGCCCAGTGAGCCAGTCCCCTTTCCCCAGTCTCATTGATTTACGTGTATTTTAGTTAAAAAATCCCTTTGATTTAATATTGGTAGCTTATATGGGTCTATAAATTTATCCATTTCTTTTAGATTTTTCCTACTTTTCAAAGCATTCTCTAATGGTCCTCGACACTTGGTTAGTTTCTGCTGTGATAACTCTTTTCTCTGCACTTTTATTAACTTGAACCTTCTCGTTATCTCTCTGGTTATTTGGGCCAATGTTGTCAATATTGTTTATTTCTTTTTCTTTTTTTTTTTGTTTTTGTTTTTTGAGACAGGGTTTCTCTGTGTAGTTTTGTGCCTTTCCTGGAACTTGCTTTGGAGACCAGGCTGGCCTCGAACTCACAGAGATCCGCCTGTCTCTGCCTCCTGAGTGCTGGGATTAAAGGCGTGTGCCACCACCGCCCGGCAATATTGTTTATTTCTAAAATACCAACCTCTCATTTCTTTGATCTTTCTACTGTTCCTTCAGCCTCTGCTTCATTATTTTATGCCCTTCATTTCTTTCCATCTGTTAACTTTGTGTTTAATTCATTTCTTGTTTTTCTAAGACTTTGCAGCAGGTATTTAGGTTATTTATTTGAAATCACTCTGATATTTAAATGTAAGCATTCATGCTTATAAATCTTTCAGAACTGCCAAAGATTCCTGAAGGTGTTTTCATTTTCACTTGATTCTAGGAATTTTTAAAATTCTTCCCTGAATTTCTCTAGTGATCCACTGATTGTTCAAAAGTGTGTTGTGGGAGAGAAAGGCATGTATGAAAATATCCTGTGAAACCTATTATCATATTATAATGAAACAATTCATTTTTATTTTAATTCAAAAAATAATTGAGAGTATATTGTTGAGTCTCTGTGTTTGTAGAGTTTCTCTTTCTATTGATTGCTAATTTCGTTCCAATATGTTCTGAAAAGGTCCAAGCACTTACTTAGATTCTCTCATACTTATTAAGACTCCTTTATGGCCTAAAATGTGATCTACTTTGGAGAAAGTTTAAAAAAAAAAAAAAGAGTTTCAAAAAAAAAATATGTTCTAGCTGTTATATAGACTCACATGTCTGTAAGTCCATTTGATCTATGGTACAATTTAACTTGCTTTTTTTCCTAATTTGTTTTTGTCTGGGTGATTATCTGTCCAGCAGTCAATTATATACATCGGTAAGGCAGCTCTGTAGTTCAAGCAATCCACTGGCCACACTAATCCTTAGATGATGAGACTGTTTCTTGCCACAGAGAGCAGGGTCAAACACCAGAGCAGCTTTTACCGTGGGACCCTCCCACTGCTTAAACTCCATGGGTTTGTGCCCAGCGCTGTCTTTCATAGTCGCCTTTTCTGGTCTTCTCCCATCCAGACACCAACTCCTCCGGCTCCCTGAATTGTGAATGTTCCTTGCTTCCCACTTCCTAGAGGTCTCAAACAATGGCCCACATTCAAGACAGTGCTTGACTGCCATTCTGAGATGCAGGGAATGATAAATGGATTTCTTCTCCAATGCTGACCTGCCATGCAAGAGTCATTGTCTTAAGTTGTGGCAAGTTGACTTTTAAACCTAACAGTCACAGTGCTCCTTTACTATATCAAGCTGGAAAACAAGACACTGCATTCTAGTCTAGGGCAGCCCAGGGAGAAGCTGATGAGTAGAAGCACAGCAGAAGAAAGAAAAAGTAGGCTGCTGTTTGTAGAGAACATTAACCTGTAGTGCTACCAGGGTTTTGGGGGCCAGAGCCTGGGCCCTGGCAGACCTGACATGGTCGGCTAGGCAACCTGCCCTCAACAAGCTAGTTAAAGACACAGACAATGAAAGACAAGAGAAGAGGACTTGTTTAATTGTGGCTGCCTCAAGAGGAGGAACTCAAAGGTCTAGTGGAGTCCGTTTATCCCAGTCTGCCTTCAGAGTCCTGACAGAAGGTTTAGGTCAAGGTGTGGTCCCCACATCATTAACCCACCGTTGTCTCTGACTCTAGTCTTTCCTGCAGGGTATTCTGACCAAGTGTCCAAACAGTGTGAGCTCACTGAAGACAAGCGCCCCTTTGGCTGCCCTGGCTTTCTGTCAGCATGAGATTCCTGGGGAAATTACAGTTTGAGGGTCTATTGTCTCAATAGTCTCAGAGCCCAGAGGAAGCACAGAAATGTCTCTTTAGCATATCTTTATTCCTGACAGACTGGTTGCGTTCTCAGGCTTATGAAATAATCCCCACAGCCTCCTGCAAGTGGTGTGAAGACACATGACATTGTTATGCTTTCAGACTTTTTTCTCTTAAATAGCAGAGAACCTTTTTTCCCCAAGTCAAGAATTTCATTTTATTGCAATGTATAAAACAGATAAAAGTAGCATTTATTTTGTTTGTTTATCGAAGAGAAAGGGAATTTATTTTGACTTACGGTTCTGGAGTAATAGAATCTATCACAGCAGGTAAGGCATGACAGCAAGCAGGAGGATGGAGCACACAAGAAGGAGAGAGAGAGAGAGAGAGAGAGAGGGAGAGCCAGTGAGCGAGCAGGAAGTAGGGCAAGGCTATAAACCCTCAAAGCCCGACTCCACCAACCTACCCCCAGGCGACATACCTCCTCTAGCAAGACTTTACCTCCTAAAGGTTCTGTAACCTACACAAACTACTTAATTCACCAGCTGGGTCCTAAGTGTTTGAATACATGAGCTAATTGAGGACATTTCTTTCTTTCTCTTTCTTTCCTCCCCTTTTATTAAACATGTTCCCCCCCCCATAACAATGTAATCTGAATACAGGTTCCCCTCCCTCCACTCCTTCCATTTCCTCCTTACCTCCTGTCCCATCCAGATCCCTTTCTATCTCTCATTAGAAAAGAATAGGCTTCGACAAGGCCGTGTTTCTGCCTCACTGGAATGATCTTTGAAGTTGTAAAGAAAATGAGTGGATTCGTGTTTTTTAAGAGTTGATTTTCCTCATAAAATGATCCATTTAAATTCATCCTTAATATATGATAGTTTTTAGCAGGAGGTGCAGTTGGGGAAAATGAGCTTTATTGTGCAGAGTGAGATCAAGTGCATATTTATAAAGTATTTCTGAACATTAGTTCCTGGAAGATGTCATGGGCTGTGATTCCCGCAGTTTCATGGGGCATCTTCAACCATTTGTGCTTCTGTAGTATGTATGTGAGCTTTTATTTTTCCATTGGAAATTCACTTTTTAATATTTACATAATGGCCAAAGGTTTGCCAATCTGTATTTAATTATATTTTAATTGCCAATTTTTACATGTGGTGGTTTAATTGTACCCCAAAAATGCACTTAAACCTGAACTGTGTAGTTCCGTTACCTTTTATTTGGCTTTAGATATTTTTTAATACATTTGTAGGGGCTTGAGGGGCTTGTTTTATCTTAGTTTTATCTATATAAACTTTTGTTTTTGAACAGTTCTGAACTTTTAAATATTTTATATAGTGGTCCAGAAAAGACTATTTTCAGAAGTTTTAAAATTCAGTACATTTCCTCTTTTTATTACCCAGGTTTTGTTTAAACTGTTCCTTTTATAAGAAATGTTTTGACTTATGAATCATAAACTTTTTCTACCTGACTTTCAACCATTGAAAATGTATAGTTATTCAAATGAGTGAAGATTTATTTAAGTTGATCCCAAGAGTTTAGAAATTTGAGAGGTGTAGATGATCAGATCTGTTTCTTAAGAAAAAACAACCTAGTTTTCAGAACTTGTGCATTCCTGATACTCTCTGTCATTGTTTTGTCTAAATAGGATGTAAAAGGGACAACAAATACAGTAGCCTTTTGTATGTGTGAATTATATTATGCTTTTGTATGACCTGTGTATTTGATAAATACATGTGCATATCCACTTGTTAAATTATTTCAGGTTCTCAAAAAAAAAAAAAAAGAGAAAAGAATAGGCTTCTAAGAGAAAACAGCAAAACATAACAAAATAAAATAAAATTAGACAAAACAAAAACCATCACATCAAAATTGGACAAGCCAAACCAACAGACAAATAAAAGAGCCCCATGCTGGCCCTGTGATTGCTGCTGCTTTGTGATTGTGAGTCTCTGTAAGTGCATATGAACTTCACTCAGTTGCTTTAGAGGGTCTTTTTTTCCTGGTGTCCTCCATCCTCTCTCCCTCACTCTTTTTACCTACTCTTCCATGGGGTTCCCTGAGCTGTGAGGGGAGGGATTTGATGGAGCTATCACATTTAGAGCTGAGTGTTCAAAGGTCTCTCTCTCTCTCTCTGCATAATGTCTCTCTGTGAGTCTCTGTATTTGTTCCCATCTGCTGCAGGAGGAAGCCTCTGATGATGACTGAATAAGATACCGATTGATCTGTGAGTATAGCAGAACATCTTTAGCAGTCATTTTATTGTTACTTTTTTTTTTTTTTAAGGTAAGTAGTATTTGGTTTTGCCCTAGGTCTCTGGGCTATCTAGTCTCTGGGTCTTGGTCACCAGTGTCGGCTATGGGCTCCCTCTCATGGAGCGGGCCTTAAATTTAAGCAGACATCGCTTGGTTACTCCCACAAGGTTTGTGCCACCATTGCCCTAGCATATTTTTCAGGCTGGACAGATTGTAGATCAAAGGTTTCATGTTTGGGTTGGTGTTTATGTTTCTCTTTTGGTAGCCTTCAGAGCATCTTTCCATGTCAAAGACTCTAGAACATGGGGGTGAAGGTTTTATGTAGGCCCCAGCTTGATCTGTCCGTGTTCCATGGGTTGTTTGGGTGTGGGCGTTGTCTTCAGCAGCGGGGTTTTACTGTCAGCTTGTGTAGAACAACCTGTTGCCTTGGCAGCAACCCGAGTTGTTCGGGGATTTCCATGGGACCCTTTTGGCCCACAACTCAATTGGATGAAACCCAGTCCCAGTACTGGAAGCTTCATTTGGTGACAAGAGATGGTCAGTGGGAGTTTCCATCTCTTCTGTTATTTGGAGACTTCATTAGGGTCACCTGCATATATTACAGGAAGTTTCCACTGCATTGGGTTTCTAAACTACCCCTCAGATGCCCTTCAATTCTAGCTGTCTCCCCTCATTCCCACCTCCCCTCCCCCTTCCCACTTGATTCTCTCATTCTTGTCTGTCACCCCTACCCGTTTACCTATAGAATCTATTCTCTTTCCCTCTCCCAGGGAGATACAGGTGTCCCCCCAGTCCCTTTCTCTATGCCCAACCTCTCTGGGTATCATAGTGCTTTTATTGCTGTGAAGAAACACCATGGCCATGGCAAATCCTATAAAGGAAAACATTTGAGGTATGCTTACAGTTTAGAGATTTAGTCCAGTATCAACATGGTGGGAAGCAGGGCAGCATGCAGGCAGACATGGTACTAGAGCGGTAGCTGAGAGTTCTACAGCTGATCTGCAGGAAGAGAGAGAGACACTGAGCCTGGCTTGAGCATTTGAAACCCCAAAGCCTACCTCCAGTGACACACTTCCTCCAACAAGGTCACACCTCCTAGTGTTACCCCCTAATGACCAAGCATTCAAGTATATGAGCCTGTGGGGGCCATTCTTATCAAACAGCTATACTGGGTCTACAGATCGTAGCTTGATTATGCACAGCTAATATTCAGATATAAGTGCATACACACCATATTTGTCTTTCTGGGTTTAGGTTACCTCATTCAAGATGATTTTTTTTCTAGTTCCTTCCATTTGCCTGCAAATTTCATTGTCATTTTTTTTTACAAGCTTAGTAATACTCCAGTGTGTAATTGTACAATATTTTATTTATCTCTGTTGAGGGATATCTAGGTCATTTCTAATTTCTGACTTTTATGAATAGAGCAGCAATGAACATGGTTGACAAGCGTTTCTATGGTAGTATGAAGCATCCTTTGGTTATATGCCCAAAAGTGTGATAGCTGAATCTTAAGGTAGATCAAGTCCCATCTTTCTGAGGAACCCACCATACTGATTTCCACAGTGACTATGTAAGTTTGCACTCCCATCAGCAATGGAGGAGTGTTACCTTTGCTCCACATCTTTGCCAGCACGAGCTGACTTTGTATTATTGATTTTAGTCATTCTGACAGGTGTAAGATGGAATCTCAAAGTAGTTTTGATTTGCATTTCTCTGATTGCTAAGGATGTTGAATATTTCCAGTATTTCTCAGCCATTTGAATTTCCTCTATTGAGAGAATTCTCTGTTTAGATTTGTACCCCATTTTTAATTGGGCTATTTGGCTTTGTAGGGGTTAGATTTCATATTGAAGGTACAACATTCTATCCCTGGTTCCCCTAGGCTCATGGCCATGTCATGATGCAAAATGCATTTAGTCTTCAAAAGTGCCCACTCTTTAACAGTCTTGACACTGTTCAAAAGCCCAAAGTCTCTTTGAGAGTCAAGGCAATCTGTTAACTGTAATGCTCTGTAAAATTTTTAAAAGATTTTACATTCTTCCAGCATATAAGGGCACAGAATGTACATTTCCCATCCCAGAAGGGAAGAATGGAGACATAGGGAGGGAAGTTTTGAGCAAAATGAGACCGAAATGGAGTCAGGCAATCAGCAAATCTTGTAGGCCTGTGTCCAGTAGCTGGACTTTTGGGTCCAGTGGGCACAGACTGTTCTGCCCTCCAGCCTTGCTGTCTGCAGCACACATCTCTCTTTTGGCTGGTTCTGCTCCCTGTATGTGGCTCTCCGTGGAGGAGAGGAAAAGGGGAAGGCAAGGCAACAGACAAGGAAGGTATATGAATGCAGCAAGAAGCTGGCTGATTAAATTTTGATCCACACACAGGAAGCAGAGGAAAAAAAGCAACATTTTATATGTGTACATGTTTTTGTAATTTCACATATAGAATATTGCTTTGATTAAAGCAATGTTTGAAAATGAATGTTGTAGATGATAGTTGTGATCTGGTCTCAGCATCCAGTTATTTCTTGTTTTGTTTTACTCACTCAGCATTGAGAAGTGTTGAAAATTGCCTCAGTCTCTGAGGGCGAGGGAGTCACTCATTCCATTCCCGGTCCAGTCCCTTTCCTGGTAAATTTCTCAGGGTTGGAACACTTAGGGCTTACGGGAGGAAGTCTGAGAAGACTCGTTTGTTAATTCGTTTATTCCTCTCTGGTGTTGGGTGGGGAAGCCAGGGTCTATGAGTTCTAAGCAGGCACCGATTGGGTAAGGCTTGCCCTTCACTTTGCCCTGAAATGTCATTAGAGGTACCTATTAGAAGTGTTTCTGTTGTTATAGTGATAATCGTCTTTGAAGAACGTCTAAGTAAATTGAGAATATGTTTGTTAGTCCGATCTACCAGGATATAGCCGAGGACATGAAAGCAGGGAGTTTGGGGACAACAGTCACATGTATGCTGTCAGTTTTTTAAAGCAGTTAGCATTCTGTTTATTCTGCTCTGACCCACTTATGCTTTGCCCATGTAAGTTAAATGTCTGTAGTCAGGTAGCTGGGTCCAATCCCGCAGAGTAGTGGGAAGTTAAACTTCAGGATCAGTTAGAGCGGCACTTACAGTGTTTGGACCCCCATCTATTCTGGCATATGATATTATTCCTGGGCATTCTGTTCCTGTCACCACCTCCTTTTCATGCTGTTGACATAGTATAGCTCTAGTTAGATATACACAGAAGAATATATGACGTTGGAAGTTGAATCTGAGTTTCAGAGCACTTACCCACGTTTTTAAGGCTCTTGTGATCCAGGACAAAAAAAAATGGACCAGAGACTCATGTTTAGAAATAGAAATCCAACTTCCTAAGAAAGAGAAGCACTTCCAAGAATGGGAGTAGACAGCGAGCTGAGGGGAAAACACGAACTCAGAAGTGCTAAGCACATGACTTAGCATGTGAGGCCCATGACTCTTGGTAGGTCATTCATGTAGCACCTGCCTCTCCGTGTCTGTCTGTTGCAGGCTCTTCTTGAACATGTGCTGCCTGTTGTACGTAGCCTAGGTGGGGAGGGTTTCTAGTCCCTTTCTGCAACTGGCTTTTTTCATATATTAATTTTGATCAATAGATGTCTCTCTGCCTGCCTGTCTCTCCCCAGGCCCTTTTCTGAGAGATGTAGTTCTAAATATTTTTGAGGAACAAAGTCTGTTTTCTGTAACTACTCCCATGCTGATCAGAGGCATAGTCACTAAGAGGAACCATAAGACAGGCAAACTGATAATTCTATAAGATGTGGCAAGACACAAAACAAAGTTTTAAGGAGGAATCATATGATGAAATAGATTGAAAGGGGAGATGGTGTGACATTGTAGTCATTGAGTAAGTATTAACAGTGACAAAAGAAAAATTCTGTAGCAAACTAGAGCATAAGGTAAAGTTATGATGAACAGGAAATAGCAACTGGACAGGCAGCTTAGGTCCTGGATCCTGAAGGCAGCAGTTCCAGGAATGTCCTTTGTTCTCTGGCCGGGAAAGCCAGAGGGAGTTCTGGTTTGTTTGTTGGTTTGTTTTTGTCCTTCTCATATAATGCATCCCAACCAAAGCCTCCCTTCCCTCCACTCCTCCCAGTTCCCCTGCACATATCTCCCTCCTCCCCCAGATCTACTCCTCCTTTGTTTCCCTTCAGAAAAGAGGCTTCCCAGTGATATCAACCAAACAATGAGACTAGATACAAACCCTCGTATCAAGGCTGGACAGGGCAACCCAGTAGGAGGAAAGGGGTCCCAAAAGCAGGCAAAAGAGTCAGAGACACCTCCACTCCCACTGTTAGGAGTCCCACAAACACCCCAAGCTAGACAATGATAGCATGTTTGCAGAAGACCTAGTGCGGACCCAGGCAGGCCCTGTGACTGCTGCTTCAGTCTCTGTGAGCCCCTATTGAAAGACCCCCTCTCCATTATGAGGACATGGGGCTTTGGGCCAATGAAATGCTCCCCCCCCCCAATAACTTAGCCTAAGAAATGCCATTCTGAAGGAATCAGAAAAACAGGAGTTCACAGCCGTAGCCAGCCACCCGGCCTTGACAGAGATAACTATGGCCAGCCATCCAGCCTTGAGAGAGATAACTGTGGTCGGCGGCCTTGGGAGAAAAACAGTTGAGTCGAATCAGGATATTTTATGGCTGGCCCCCTGGCCTTGAGGAATAAGCAGCTGGCCTGGGCAAGGCCAAATCAGCCACACACATACGACCCCAAGTTCACCCTGGCCTTCTTTGAAACAACCAATAGGGACCCTGTAACTATGCTTCTTGCTTCTGTAACCGCGCCTCTGCCCCTGGGATCCCATAAAAAGTCCCCCTTGCCCTAGGAAAGGGCGCAAGTCCTCCAAGAGACTTCGCCCCAGGTACCTGGTCTAAATAAACCCTCTTGCTTTTGCATCTGATCTGTGGTTTCGGTGTGTTCCTTGGGTTTGGGGTCTCTCCCGGAGGAA